TCACACTAGACTGTGTTTCTGTTATTTAACATAGCAGAAATCATCTCTCTGCTCAGTGCTCTGCTAAGTGAATGCCTTTATGCCCTTGGAACCCATTTATGAAATGAACAAAGCTGAGCGTTTGTGTTAGATCCTTAAAGGTTCAGTGAGAGATTGATAACTACTTTGTGTCTTTGCAAACTGGGGATGTCATCCGGAAGTAAACAGCAGCTGTTTGCTCAGGATCCCTTGCTCTCCCACATCCTGTGTGGGCTCCACTCCTGATGCCTGTCAGGAGGCATCTGACTGACAGGTGTCCCCAGGCCATCAACCATGCCCAGTCCAAACAGCCCTCTCTTCCAAGTGGCATTTTATGCGTTGGTTAGTACACGGGTAGACTTGGACTTCCTCAGCATTCCACACAGAATCTTTTGGCAGTGGGAACTCTGCAGAGACGGGGGAAGTGGTGCCTGTTTGAGAGCAGCTGGGAAAGCACAACTTGTTTTATTCCAGTTATTCCTCCACTGCCCGCCCTGGGCCACTGCGGGGAGGCAGGGGTCAAGCCTGAGGCCCCAGGGGGGAATTCAGGGACAAGGGTAGGTACCTCGCTTTCAAGAGAAAATCAGCAAAATCTCTTTAACACTTTCATGCTAGGATAATTGTTTTCAAACTGAAGAAATCTAGCAACACCTTTCTGGTATCCCTATGTCTCAGCTTAGTATATAGGGCAATTGAGGAAGACTGTCCCATCCCTTCACACTCAGATCTGCACAGCAGCCCCTGATGCCCGTTGGGGGGCAGCTTTCAAACCCCCTGCTAAGGAAGCAAGCCCATGTGAGTGCCTGGGGACAGTGAGCTATCGCTCCAACTTGTCACTAACTAGTAGGCAGGTCACTTAACTTCTGTGTTCCCGTTTTTCCTCCATCATCAACTCCAGCTAGTAGTCTAATCTCTTTGTTGGGACTTAACAGGATTATCTCAATGCATCTTCCAGGTGTTTCTGTACATTCTCATGTATAGAAAATAAAAGTACTTCAACAAGATGATCAAGACCATAGGCATAGGCTCGGCGCCTCTGGCTCAAGCAGCTAAGGCGCCAGCCACATACACCTAAGGTGGCGGGTTCGAATCCAGCCC